TCAAAATTTGTTGACCTGAAAAATAGAAGACAAGTAGAAGACTAAAGTGGGAATGAACTAAAGCGCCAGACAAATGAGTGGTTGATAACAAGAGCATCGAGCCACGCTGTCGGGGTATTATGACACACACAATCAGCCAAGGCACACGTCGTCACCACGTGCACCACGTGGTCTTGAAGGCTTTCACAACTATCATAGGACCCGGAATCCCGTCAGGGTGAAGTGTGAGTGAACCCTGGGAACTGTATTTATGTCAGATCACGGCGTGTCAGTTTGGCGTGCGAGGAAAGTCCAACATAATGCAGGCATAGGGATAGGCGTTTACCACTTTGGCGACACCCACGAGCTCGGGTATGGTGCTGACAAACCAAGAGCATAATCAGGGCGAACCAGGATTCGAACACACGATCAAATGTTTCTGAGACGCCTCAAAGACGCAACTCTACACTGGTAAATAGATAATGAGATTGACACCACTATAGATCCTGCGCGATATCTCATAACTAATATTTCATTTTTGTTTAAAGATGTCTCACTATTCCAGCTATATGACTGTAAATAATCGATTCTGAAACAGACAATCCAGTTATTGACATCATATAGCTTCGATCCACAAAATTGGGATACGATGATATCAGCTATCAACAAAGTCAGCGAGCCTGACCACCCGATCTATTTGGACGCCTCTTACGACAAGCACGTGTTGTTGAGAACCTAAATTCTTACCCGGGATTTTCTTATTGTCATTTCAACATCTACATTGATACGTGAATATCACAGGACAGTTTCATCGGAATACTCAAAGGACAACGTGTAGTGCAGGGCTGCCCAGAGGACCAGTCTGGTTCCTCGTTAAGATAACCTGTGACGGACTCAGTGTTGTGGTCCCCCGCGTTGCGAGATGTTTATACCGGGGTATACAAGACCAGGTATCATCTCCGATACAGCCAATACAATAAAATATAGACCAGGTATCATCTCCGATACAGCCAATACAATGAAATATAGACCAGGTATCATCTCCGATACAGCCAATACAATGAAATATAGACCAGGTATCATCTACGACACAGGCAATACAATGAAATATAGACCATGTATCATCTCCAATACAGCCAATACAATTAAATATAGACCAGGTATCATCTCCGATACAGCCAATACAATGAAACATTGACCAGGTATCATCTACAATACAGGCAATACAATAAAAGATAGACCAGGTATCATCTCCGATAAAGGCAATACAATGAAATATAGACCAGGTATCATCTCCGATACAGCCAATACAATGAAACATAGACCATGTATCATCTCCAATACAGGCAATACAATAAAATATAGACCAGGTATCATCTACAATACAGGCAATACAATAAAATATAGACCAGGTATCATCTCCGATAAAGGCAATACAATGAAATATAGACCAGGTATCATCTCCGATAAAGGCAATACAATGAAATATAGACCAGGTATCATCTCCGATAAAGGCAATACAATGAAATATAGACCAGGTATCATCTCCAATACAGGCAATACAATGAAATATAGACCAGGTATCATCACCGATACAGGTAATACAATGAAACGGCCCCTCGTCGTACGGCTGTCCCAACACGGAGGGCTTTCATCTACCTGAGCCTGGCGTACAGGTGAGGTCATCACAGCGTTACCTCACCACTCAAACATTCCAGATATGTTATCGGGGCAGGCACCTCGGTGGATGACGACATTCCTGCCAACTGGGGATTTCAGGATAATTTATGTTAAGCCTTGTATCAGAATAGGCTGTTATAAATACCAAAGTATCTTCATAAACAACTCTGAACTTTCTGCATGACGTTCGGTTAAGATGTCAGTGTTATTTACCTATGAAATATTATTCTTAAGTAAACACCCTCACCACGAAACATGTCACGTGTAATACATTTAAATTATAATAGAGCTACACACTGACCAGTGAAGATCCGGGTTAGAATAGATCTGCAGCAACCCATCCTTGCCGTAGATGGCGACTAACGGGACCGGGTGGTCAGGCACGCTGACTTGGTTGATACATGTCATTGTATCCCAAATACGTAAATCGAAGCTCATAAGGTCAATCACTGGATTGTCTGGTTCAGACTCGATTATTTACAGACCACCGTCATATATCTTGAATAGTGCCGAGTGCGGCGTTAAGCAGCATGCCCTGACTGTTCGTCAAATGTATGCTAATCAAATTTGATAAAGAGAATGCCAACATCAATCTTTTTTGGGTAATCGATATGACAACAGCCCCTGTCCCAGATAGGACCAGACGCCCAGGGATGCCTGGCTTAAGTAGGAAATATATATACAGACAAGTTTAGAATTAGTATTCTTTAGTTATATAACTCTAATCAGAGGAGGAGCTATACGGTGACATTGCTGAACGCCAGATACGTGCAAGTGAACGTTTGACATGCCATAACCTACATTCAAATAGTTTACGTTCTCAGGAATAAAAACAAATACTGCAACGTGAGTGTATGGTGTACTCTACTCTAGGCGTACCATTGTATATTGAGTGTCGTTAATATACATTGTCCTGCTTGGATGACTAGGCTCCCAGCTTGCACAAAGAAAGGCCAGAAAGAAGACCCCTCGTCCTACTGATCTATGGCGGGTGTGGGTAGTTAAAGAGCCATAGAAACCCAATGAATAAAATCACAAAATCATTTAGTAGTAAAAAGCAGGTTTCTTAGTCCCCTGACTAATGGAATAACTGTGTGCCAGCGAAGGGTGCTTTAAAAAGTAGAAACAGTTTTACTATGCTTTCGTCCACATTCTTGCCTCTAACACAGGCTGACATGGTGAACTTGAATAATAAAAAACACGAAGAAATAGCAAATTAAAACGAAAATTGCTACTGTCATTTAAGTGAGTGAGTGAGTGAGTATGGTTTTACGCCGCTTTTAGCAATATTCCAGCAATATCACGGCGGGGGACATGGGCTTCACACATTGTACCCATGTCGGGAATCGAACCCGGGTCTTCTGCGTGACGAGCGAACGCTTTAACCACTAGGCTACCCGACCGCCCCTACTGTCATTTGAAATATATCAAGGCATATGAATTTATTCAGCTATGGAGAGTTATGGTCATTATTTCATCAGAAAGGCGTCGGACAGGGTGAACATCTATCACCCATGGTATTATTTCAGTTACAGAAGAAGAAGAAGAAGAAAATTATTTTATTATAGTGCCACCTGGTGTTTAAAAACAGTAAAAAACATTACACGTATACATACGTATGATTTATAAAAACATCAGCCGACCCATGAAGGATCTATGAGGCACTTAACATCATTAAATTATCCATTATATAAATTGGCAAGAATAATACACAAACATAATCGAAAGTACACACACACGCACGCACGCACGCACGCACCCACGCACGCACACACACACACACACATAAATATTACACGCATTTCATTTTCAATCACACATGCAGTTCACCACATCCACTCAATATCACGTGCGCATACATCACATACAAACACTACCAACATACTCATCTATCACTCACAAAAACATACACATTATATACATCACTGCCCGGCACGTTGTCGCCGGAGAAACATTGACGTCACTGTTGCGGCCAGAGGTTTACACAAGCTGACACACTGCATAAGGAAGCGAAGTTGATCACAAGGGTGGAAACTCAGAAACTGTGAATTGGCAATGCAGGCTTTCCTCCATAGGTCGTAGCGGATATCAGAGAAAAGGGTACAGTTGATCAGGAAATGGGTCTCGTCTTCAACTTGATGTTCATCACAGAACTGACATATACGGTCATTAAGGGGGGTAATCGGTCGCCGGAATCTGCCGAGCTCAATTTCTAAAGGTAAAGTCGCACATCTCAATTTTGCAAGAACACTACGCTGTTGTCTGTTCAGAATATTCCGGACATAAGACTCGACGTGTGCGGATGCCTTGAATAGCCTGTAGGTCCGCAGTTTGTTCCCATTGGTTAATCCCCTGTCATTCCATAGATCCACCCACCAAGAGTCAGCGTCGGCGGCAATGATACGGTCCTTAAGAACTTTGAAATCATTTTCAGCAATATTATACATGTCCAGATTACTTGAATCAAACCTTTTCAACAAAGACACAGCAGAATTTACCCATGATTTCCGGAAGCGTTTAGACCAGTTCACTATCACAGTAATCTTTCGATCAGATTCAAGAGATATTATTTTCTTCCACAGTCGTAATGTTTCTAAGTTTTGAAGAGTTATCGACGAAAGCCAGCCCATCTCGCCACGAACAGCTAGGTTGGGAGTTTTATTTCCGACGCCCAAGAAAAATCTGCAGGCGCGGTGTAAAACATTATTAATGCATCTAAATTCTCTTAAACCCCAGATCGCAGAGCCGTAAGATAAAATTGGTTGCACCAAATTACTGTACAATGTGTTGAAGACATCATACGCCATGCCTCCTACCGCTTTGAATTTACAAATGATAACTCCCAAAGCTCAAAGTTACATCACGGAGGTCAGTAGCGTGTGGAGAGAGAGACCGAAGTAATGCAGGTCTTAGACGATTACCGACGACCGTAGGATTCTGGCACGCCTAAGGGACGCAACTCTACAGCGAATTGCCGGGTCTTAGTGTACTGGGCCCGCATGTCCCCTGTCTGGTAATATCGCCATGGCGTGGTATACGTGGTAACATAGAGAGGTGTAACAACTGTAGAGTTGTATACATATCATCGGTATCACGTAATAACGCCCCGGGAGTCCGGGTGAGACTATATCCCCGCCATGCTTTATGTGTCGAAAGTATGTTATTGTGTAATAGAGTTAATTCCTAAAAGAGGCCATCGGCCCATTTATAAGGCTACAGTGAGACATGGCATAGAAAAATGACGCTTGAGGCAAAATTAATGTTCTGTTTCAACTAATAATATAATGCAAAACAGGCAAAAGTTCTTCTCAATATAACACCATCTTCCCGGTTCTAAACATTCATCCTCCTAGTCCCATCACACTCCAATAGGGCTGTGGGGTAGCCTTGTGGTCACAGCGTTCACTGCTAGCCACCACACTCCCATAGGGCTGTGGGGTAGCCTTGTGGTCACAGCGTTCACTGCTAGCCACCACACTCCCATAGGGCTGTGGGGTAGCCTTGTGGTCACAGCGTTCACTGCTAGCCACCACACTCCCATAGGGCTGTGGGGTAGCCTTGTGGTCACAGCGTTCACTGCTAGCCACCACACTCCCATAGGGCTGTGGCGTAGCCTTGTGGTCACAGCGGTCACTGCTAGCCACCACACTCCCATAGGGCTGTGGCGTAGCCTTGTGGTCACAGCGGTCACTGCTAGCCACCACACTCCCATAGGGCTGTGGCGTAGCCTTGTGGTCACAGCGGTCACTGCTAGCCACCACACTCCCATAGGGCTGTGGGGTAGCCTTGTGGTCACAGCGGTCACTGCTAGCCACCACACTCCCATAGGGCTGTGGCGTAGCCTTGTGGTCACAGCGGTCACTGCTAGCCACCACACTCCCATAGGGCTGTGGGGTAGCCTTGTGGTCACAGCGGTCACTGCTAGCCACCACACTCCCATAGGGCTGTGGGGTAGCCTTGTGGTCACAGCGGTCACTGCTAGCCACCACACTCCCATAGGGCTGTGGCGTAGCCTTGTGGTCACAGCGGTCACTGCTAGCCACCACACTCCCATAGGGCTGTGGGGTAGCCTTGTGGTCACAGCGGTCACTGCTAGCCACGCCCAAGGACCTGGTTCAACTCCCCACATGGGTACAATGTGTAAAGCCCATTTCTGGGGTCACCGCCGGGATATTGCTGGAGTATTGCGGCATAAAACCATACTTACTCACTCTTCAGCTGCCACACAGACGCAGTAGTACACCGACCCGATCCGACCAGTCCTTGTTTTAGCCCCTTAATGCCCCCCGACCTTTCGCTCTCACGCGGTCATGAGATCACCTTTGTATCAGGTATCCTAAGGTAGTGTATTAACAGTTTTCCAACCAATTGGCTAAGGTGGTGGAAATAAAAAAGAATATTTGTGAAGCTCGAAAGTTTATAATTGAATTTGGCATGAAAATGTTTGGGTGGGGAACAGATCTCAACATTGAGTGATGTACATGATGTTAAGAAAAGGTCATAGATTCTTTAATTTAGTATGAATTTTGTTGATGTATGTTGTCATTTTTCTTATTGATTTGTTTTTTTGTTGTTTAACACCGCACTCAACAATATTCCAGATATATGACGTTTTTTCTTATGCAATAATATTGAGAAAGATGGAGGGGCAAAAATATTAATAATAATTTTTATTTCTGATTGTGGTTTTTGTCTGTGCATGTGAAAAGTGTGCTACCATTGTGTCAGAATATAAATATTTGTCCAACTCCGACCAATTTAGTTTGTTTAATTGTTAAAGGACTAATTATAGCCAAGTGGAAATGATTAATAACAATTTCCTTGCTAACTGGTGTTTATCTACCATTATCCACTCCAACTTTTAATTTGTACCTTCAAATATTTATAGCTCATGGTCAAAGTGCACATCAAAGCTATAAATCTCCATGGCAACTGTATTTAGAGTATTTAGACGCCCACAGTCAGTGTCCCTGCCATAATGTATTCAATACAACAAAATCTCCAGATTCTTACATATCTAGTCATGTGTAGCCAGCCGCAGGCTGTCGGTCAGTGAAGCGTGACAATATACTCTCTCCACATGAAATACGGTGTTTATCTACCACTTGATAGGAGGATATAATCCCTGCTTCCCCAGACTCACAACCTGGGGCGTTCCCTCTCAGTGCACAGCACTTAATGCTGGATTAAAACAGGATAGTTACCCATGAAGCACTGTGAATAGAGCATTTGTTGTTCGTTCATGTAATGTCAGTTAGAAAACGATTGTGAGTGAATCAGGCATTATGATGCTCACTGTTCAACAACTAATTCAATTTTGAAATATCTCTGTATTTTGAAAGACCAATTCTTGTATTGTTTTACGGATGAGTGACCCATTAGTTTGGAAAAGCAATAAAAGATGAAAAATGCTGTGGTTAAAAGTAATGTATTTTCCCAAACCTCGTTTTGCTTATATTATTTCTAATACTTTAATTTCACACACAAAAATTCAACTGGCATTTTGAAAGTAACATTTTGATTTCTCAGTGTTATAATTATTTAAATTTGAAGATATCGGCAGTAGAAGACTGTGATTGACTTGAAGCGTAGTAAGGACAGGCTGTGGAATAAAGATCCCATTCTACACTGTAGGCCACAAGTTGAACACAAGACATAATAAATATTTTAGAAAAAAATATGTTTAATAAATAAAATGTTGTGCACATCACAATGTCATGAGTCGGATGAGGAGGGACACCACGTGGACGCTGAGACTGTTCCCCAGGCTCCGGTACATCTGGATCCTCGACAACTCGTTCGGTAACTCTGGAAAATACAAGAGCAAAAGTTGTACATGCCAAAGGTGAAAATACAACGCTGTGGAGACAAGCTTAACCAACACTTCGGAGACATTGCAAAATGTTCAAATAACAAAGGATACCTTTCAGATAAAAAAAAGAAAAGAAATATTTTATTCCATCCTCCACCTCGTGCCTAAACTTTTGCACCAATAAATCTGAAAATCAAGCAGTGAAAAAAGTCTAGCCCCGGGGGTAACTCTACATGACATAAACATGGCAGAGAGTGCTGTGGCAGGATAAACTCAGGTCATCAAACACAACCTTCTTGTTTTATAGTCGAGATCAATGTAGCAATGACTGATAACCCTAGTTACAGGGCATGTGAAGCGATGCAGGAGTAGCGACTGTCTGGACCTGGCCTCAACTCTTGGAGCATGTAAGGGATGAAGAGTTGTCTCCCTTCAAGACACTTTTTTGCACTCTCATCAATTAGAATACAGCTTAACATGTATTTCCGGCCCCTAATAACCAAATTTTGCAAACTGACAAAATAAAAATATTTCATATTATTAGGGGAGAAAGTTGCAAAGCAACCACTGTCACAGACCAAATGCCAATCATGTTTACTTATTTAGATTCGTCATGGTAACAAAGAAATGACGCAAAAGAAAACAAATTCCTGTTTCTTTAACACCAATGAATTTTTTCCTTAAAGTTAAATTATCTAATTCAAATACATGTAGGTGTGTCTTAATTTTTAACATTTCTCAATATTTGATGATTTGAATTCTTGTGAGTGAAATATGAAGTTTCAGCTTCTATGAAATAACAACATGAGGATTAGTGGACTGTTGTACCGACCGAACTGCGGAGGGAAGCACAGCAGATTGGCAATTTCCCGGGGAGTGAAGTATCGCAGCTGTAGACCACGGAGGAGGTCCAGTTCTTCCTCTCCCAGTAGGGGGCGCTCCGGCAGATCAACCACCCGAGACTTCAACTTGCTGACTGCTCGAACTGCCTGGAGGGGAATAAATCAAACTATGAGAAACCTGTTACACTAGAAGGGTGTGCTGGGTGGACTGGGGTGTGCGGGGTGGACTGGGGTGTACGGGGTGGACTGGGGTGTGCAGGGTGGACTGGGGTGGACTGGGGTGTGCAGGGTGGACTGGGGTGGACTGGGGTGTACGGGGTGTGCGGGGTGGACTGGGGTGGACTGGGGTATGCAGGGTGTGCGGGGTGGACTGGGGTGTACGGGGTGTGCAGGGTGGACTAGGGTGGACTGGGGTGGAGTGGGATGTATGGGGTGTATAGGGTGTTTGGGGTGTGCAGGGTGGACTGGGGTGTATGGGTGTGCGGGGGGGGGAACTGGAGTGGACTGGGGTGTATGGGGTGTATGGGGCATAATGGGCTTCACATCACCAGACAAGCGTGTACAGCTTCACACTTTATGGGATGTTACAGGCTAGGTGGGCGGATCACTGGTGTAACGGGCTTCACACCACCAGACAAGCGTGTACAGCTTCACACTTTATGGGATGTTACAGGCTAGGTGGGCGGATCACTGGCGTAATGGGCTTCACATCACCAGACAAGCGTGTACAGCTTCACACTTTATGGGATGTTACAGGCTAGGTGGGCGGATCACTGGTGTAACGGGCTTCACACCACCAGACAAGCGTGTACAGCTTCACACTTTATGGGATGTTACAGGCTAGGTGGGCGGATCACTGGCGTAATGGGCTTCACATCACCAGACAAGCATTGTACAGCTTAACACTTTATGGGATCTTACAGGCTAGGTGGGCTGATTACTGGTGTAACGGGCTTCACATCACCAGACAAGCGTGTACAGCTTAACACTTTATGGGATGTTACAGGCTAGGTGGGCGGATCAGTGGCGTTATGGGCTTCACATCACCAGACAAGCGTGTACAGCTTCACACTTTATGGGATGTTACAGGCTAGGTGGGCAGATCGCTGGTGTAACGGGCTTCACATCACCAGACAAGCGTGTACAGCTTCACACTTTATGGGATGTTACAGGCTAGGTGGGCGGATCACTGGTGTAATGGGCTCACATCACCAGAAAAGTGTGTACAGCTTCACACTTTATGGGATGTTATAGGCTAGGTGGGCGGATCACTGTTGTAACGGGCTCACATCACCAGACCAGCGTGTACAGCTTCACACTTTATGGGATGTTACAGGCTAGGTGGGCGGATCACTGGCGTAACGGGCTTCACATCACCAGACCAGCGTGTACAGCTTCACACTTTATGGGATGTTACAGGCTAGGTGGGCAGATCACTGGCGTAATGGGCTTCACATCATGAGACAAGTGTGTACAGCTTCACACTTTATGGGATGTTACAGGCTAGGTGGGCAGATCGCTGGTGTAATGGGCTTCACATCACCAGACAAGCGCATACAGCTTCACACTTTATGGGATGTTACAGGCTAGGTGGGCGGATCAGTGGCGTAATGGGCTTCACATCACCAGACAAGCGTGTACAGCTTCACACTTTATGGAATCTTATAGGCTAGGTGGGCAGATCACTGGCGTAATGGGCTTCACATCACCAGACCAGCGTGTACAGCTTCACACTTTATGGGATGTTACAGGCTAGGTGGGCAGATCACTGTTGTAACGGGCTTCACATCACCAGACAAGCGTGTACAGCTTCACACTTTATGGGATGTTACAGGCTAGGTGGGCACATCACTGGTGTAACGGGCTTCACATCACCAGACCAGCGTGTACAGCTTCACACTTTATGGGATGTTACAGGCTAGGTGGGCAGATCACTGGCGTAATGGGCGGCTTCACATCACCAGACCAGCATGTAAAGCTTCACACTTTATGGGATGTTACAGGATAGGTGGGCAGATCACTGGCGTAACGGGCTTCACATCACCAGACAAGCGTGTACAGCTTCACACTTTATGGGATGTTACAGGCTAGGTGGGCAGATCACTGGCGTAATGGGCGGCTTCACATCACCAGACCAGCGTGTACAGCTTCACACTTTATGGGATGTTACAGGCTAGGTGGGCAGATCACTGGTGTAACGGGCTTCACATCACCAGACAAGCGTGTACAGCTTCACACTTTATGGGATGTTACAGGCTAGGTGGGCACATCACTGTTGTAACGGGCTTCACATCACCAGACAAGCGTGTACAGCTTCACACTTTATGGGATGTTACAGGCTAGGTGGGCACATCACTGTTGTAACGGGCTTCACATCACCAGACAAGCGTGTACAGCTTCACACTTTATGGGATGTTACAGGCTAGGTGGGCACATCACTGGTGTAACGGGCTTCACATCACCAGACCAGCGTGTACAGCTTCACACTTTATGGGATGTTACAGGCTAGGTGGGCAGATCACTGGTGTAACGGGCTTCACATCACCAGACAAGCGTGTACAGCTTCACACAGTACAAACCTGGACACCCTGCTTATCATGACACGCCCACAAGAGACAGGGTTTCGCTGATACAAGTGTGTGACATCAGGTCTAACTGACAACCCGCCAGCGGCTAGTTCTACATATGTGAACAGGTTCAATCATGATGTGACAACAGATGATGTCATATAATTCACCATCATGTCACGATGTCTGTACAAGCCAACAGACCACTTTGAACTGGTTTTTACAAGACAGCAACTGACCAATCAGAGAGCTGTAATAAAATGATCTTGAATGATCTTGGGACTTTGTGTATATTGCTGAAAACTGTTAAGAAAAAAACCTTCATTATCTATTCCTAACACTTCCATGAATCCTTACAAAATATCTACATGTGACCTTGACCTCATTTGATAAATACCTCAGATGCCCCTGATGTGTCTGTTGGTACAAGGACATGATTGTCTCGGGATTATTTAGGTCAAGTCTGTAAACAGAAGGAGAAACTATGTGTTGCTTACATCTCCATCACTCGTCATCTGGACAATCGAGCCGGCACCTTCTACAAAATGTCCGTACCTACAACAGAGAATATTGGAAATAACCACGATATGACACCTACCAATTCAGAAAACACCTGAACACTAGTTTGACAAGTGACAACGATGTGATTCCAGTAATAAGCTGGTCCTAACAGGTGACAAACATCAGTCAGGGTCGGTGACTTGGTAGGCCGTGTGTCATCATGCCTCAGTGATGTTGATCATTGCTGGGGCTCTCAATCAGTGGATTGCCTGTCAAGGGTTGCCTAGTTACAGTTGCCTAGTTACAGTTCGCAGCGATACAACATTGCAGACTCTGGTGCATAACACTCGCTCACTCACTCACTCACTCACTCACTCTATCACTCACTAACTCATCCGTGTGTAACCGGGACAATCTGCTCACACTGTGATGTTTAGAAGTGAAAACATAACAGACCAATCTGGACTCCACAAACTCACCCTCAAATTGACTACATCACGAAGCTACAGGACATGTACACAAACTCACCCTCAGGTTGACTACATCACGAAGCTACAGGACATGTACACAAACTCACCCTCAGATTGACTACAGGACATGTACACAAACTCACCCTCAGATTGACTGCATCACGAAGCTACAGGACATGTACACAAACTCACCCTCAGATTGACTACATCACGAAGCTACAGGAAATGTACACAAACTCACCCTCAGATTGTCTACAGGACATGTACACAAACTCACCCTCAGATTGACTACATCACAAAGCTACAGGTCATGTACACAAACTCACCCTCAGATTGACTACATCACGAAGCTACAGGACATGTACATAAACTCACCCTCAGATTGACTACAGGACATGTACACAAACTCACCCTCAGATTGACTACATCACGAAGCTACAGGACATGTACACAAACTCACCCTCAGATTGACTACAGGACATGTACACAAACTCACCCTCAGATTGACTGCATCACGAAGCTACAGGACATGTACACAAACTCACCCTCAGATTGACTACAGGACATGTACACAAACTCACCCTCAGATTGACTACATCACGAAGCTACAGGACATGTACACAAACTCACCCTCAGATTGACTACAGGACATGTACACAAACTCACCCTCAGATTGACTACATCACAAAGCTACAGGTCATGTACACAAACTCACCCTCAGATTGACTGCATCACGAAGCTACAGGACATGTACACAAACTCACCCTCAGATTGACTACATCACGAAGCTACAGGACATGTACACAAACTCACCCTCAGATTGACTACAGGACATGTACACAAACTCACCCTCAGATTGACTACATCACAAAGCTACAGGTCATGTACACAAACTTACCCTCAGATTGACTACATCACGAAGCTACAGGACATGTACACAAACTCACCCTCAGATTGACTACAGGACATGTACACAAACTCACCCTCAGATTGACTACATCACGAAGCTACAGGACATGTACACAAACTCACCCTCAGATTGACTACAGGACATGTACACAAACTAACCCTCAGATTGACTGCATCACGAAGCTACAGGACATGTACACAAACTCACCCTCAGATTGACTACAGGACATGTACACAAACTCACCCTCAGATTGACTGCATCATGAAGCTACAGGACATGTACACAAACTCACCCTCAGATTGACTAGAGGACATGTACACAAACTCACCCTCAAATTGACTACATCACGAAGCTACAGGACATGTACACAAACTCACCCTCAGATTGACTACATCACAAAGCTACAGGTCATGTACACAAACTCACCCTCAGATTGACTGCATCACGAAGCTACAGGACATGTACACAAACTCACCCTCAGATTGACTACAGGACATGTACACAAACTCACCCTCAGATTGACTACATCACGAAGCTACAGGACATGTACACAAACTCACCCTCAGATTGACTACAGGACATGTACACAAACTCACCCTCAGATTGACTACATCACAAAGCTACAGGTCATGTACACAAACTCACCCTCAGATTGACTACATCACGAAGCTACAGGACATGTACACAAACTCACCCTCAGATTGACTACAGGACATGTACACAAACTCACCCTCAGATTGACTACATCACGAAGCTACAGGACATGTACACAAACTCACCCTCAGATTGACTACAGGACATGTACACAAACTCACCCTCAGATTGACTACATCACGAAGCTACAGGACATGTACACAAACTCACCCTCAGATTGACTACAGGACAAGTACACAAACTCACCCTCAGATTGACTACAGGATATGTACACAAACTCACCCTCAGATTGACTACAGGACATGTACACAAACTCACCCTTAGATTGACTACATCACAAAGCTACAGGTCATGTACACAAACTCACCCTCAGATTGACTACATCACGAAGCTACAGGACATGTACACAAACTCACCCTCAGATTGACTACAGGACATGTACACAAACTCACCCTCAGATTGACTACAGGATATGTACACAAACTCACCCTCAGATTGACTACAGGACTTGTACACAAACTCACCCTCAGATTGACTACAGGATATGTACACAAACTCACCCTCAGATTGACTACAGGACATGTACACAAACTCACCCTCAGATTGACTACATCACAAAGCTACAGGTCATGTACACAAACTCACCCTCAGATTGACTACATCACGAAGCTACAGGACATGTACACAAACTCACCCTCAGATTGACTACAGGACATGTACACAAACTCACCCTCAGATTGACTACAGGATATGTACACAAACTCACCCTTAGATTGACTGCATCACGAAGCTACAGGACATGTACACAAATTCAGTTCTGGCTCTTGTAAGAGGCTCTAAAAGTTAAAATTCTGGGTATTGAATATCTCTCACATATCATAGAACAGTTTCAATGGCAGTGTTGTCCTCACACAGGTGCCACACAGACATAATGTCACCATACAATGAATCAAGGCCCATGTTTCCATGGCAACCTGAACACCACACCATGAATCACATCCAATGTTTTCATGGCAACCTGAACACGTGGTATGTTCCACGACAAGTATTCACACCCTGAGAAAGGTTTGAGTTTTGAACCCCATTTAACAACACGCAGTGAGACTACAACAAAATGAAACTTGGTATACAGTTTGAAAAGAAACGTACCTCCTCGTAAAGCAAGCTGACTTTTTCAGAGAAGGTTGGACAATGTCCATGATGACAAACCGAGTCAGCTCCTTGTCATCCAGTAAAAACTCCTGGAAATATTCACATGACTGTTTCTCTATAAAATGTTTCAATCTCTGACAGCCACTGTATTCCTGGTGAGTTTCATCAGCAACTTGCCGCAAATTTTCCCCTGCATCCTCTAGAGTCTTTTCATTAGCGTCACAAACACCGCCATTTTGTCCTGGAGTTGTCCCTGAATCACATGACTGATCACATGACTGTTGGTCAGAAGTATCACAGATAAGTGTTTTGTAAGTCAGCCAATCAGAAGCCTCCGCTGGTAACTCCTCAAGAATGGATTCTGAAGCCGGAAATGTGAATCCATCTTGTGCGAGGGTGGCTATGAGATAGTATCGCAGACGACAGTTTGGGACACCCGTCTGTAGTGGGGTCAACAGGAACTCCTGCAATGAAATGCTGCTGCCATTAATACCACACAAACAAAAGGGACAGCTAGCGTCTGTTTTACAGTGAGTCAAGTGGATTGGCAGTCCGCAATATTCCATTATGACAAGACAACAATCCACCATTCACTATGACAGCAGACGGTAACTCTTGTCTCAAAATTTACCAGACTGCCCTGGCCCAATCATTGATTGACCCTTGACAGAAAACCATGACACTCTCTTATAGAAATACGTCCAAATAATGATTAGGTTTCTATTTACACTTAATTTGCAAACTGAGTCAGTATTTCTTTTAGAATATTTATCTTGGCATCCTTTGGGTAAATTACAAATCTCACTACAGTCATACTTAATGTCTTTAGGAGCAATAGGGTAGCTGAGTGGTTAAAGAGTTCACTTGTCCCAACTAAGGCCTGGGTTCAATCCCCACATGGGTACAATGTGTTAAGCCTATACCCTGTGTCCCCTTAACAGGAAATTGCTGGAATATTGCTGAAAGAAACTTCAATTTAAAACACTGCTTGCTAATAATCACTCACTCACTCATCATGGTCACAATACCCTAATTAACTCCTTCACTCACTTTCCGACCACCTCCGTGGTCTAGTTCACCTGGGGAGCAGAAGGTCCGAGGTTCGATCCCCAGCCGCATCATACCAAAAGACGTTAAAAGATGGTACTTGTTAATACCCTGTCTGGCGCTCTGTATTAAGGGGCTAAAACAAGGGCTGGTCGGCTCGGAGTCAGTATACTGAGTCTAATTGAGGTATTCGTGTTAAACGACGGCATGGTATCTCAGTGGGCTAGCACTATAAATCAGCATCAGTCCGGACTAGTACAAGCAGCCACACATAGATTTTCATACGCACACATCGCTTTATAAGTGCAATAATCTTCGACGTGACATTAAACCCCATTGCACCTCACCTCATTCACTATTCATGAAACACATTGCATTGAAACCCGAAAATTGAAAATAATCGATCACAGATTTTATAGTTGACTTCTTGGTTTGAAAAGTGAATAAACCGACTATCAAGGAAATTGAATAACACAGTAAGCATCACTATTGCTCCATGAGATGAAATTATTATGTAAAATCAAGGCCCCTCGCCATCTCATCTACAGATGAAGACGAACCAGTACCTGCGAACTGTAGCTGCACTGTCTCAACGTTTCCACCAACCTCTGCCGCGCCGCTGACGTCTCGAACCCCTTCACATTCTCTACCAGAATATATCGAGGCTTGTTCTCTACTCTGGAAAAATCAAATACAAATCTCGGTATTCCTTACCGTAGACAAAACAAAGACAAATCTCTGTATTCTTTACTCTAGAAAAGACAAACAATAAATCTATATGTTTATCTAAATACCTTTTGCCAAGGTTCCGGTGAAACAGTTCCCAATCAGACATATTGTACCCAACTCTTGAGACCTACAGCGGGTACCCAGTAGAGGTGTAACGATACAGTGGGGTTGTGATACGATACGCATCCTGATACTATGGGGCGATATGATTCGTATCCTGATACAACACTTTTCTTTCACAAGTTGATATTCTTTCTTTCACCACCCTGAATCATTTGTTATTAAATTTCAGAGATCAAAGATGGGATAGTGTAGGGAAAAAACATATCGGTAATGGGCACAGTGAATGCTGCACTATCTATGTCCAACCATGAAACACTACAGAATCTGTGTAAGCTGGTTGAACCGTTTCTGTTATTATTCACATGTTTTTCCAGCAACATAACTTGTAACGAAATGAATTGTATGTATAGCGATATAGGGATCATATGAATGTGTTGTGTCGATGGCCTTGTATCATGATACAAGGCTGTATTGCCATTGGTTCCCATGGAGATAGATCCCTGTTAGAAGAAAGGGACATGTCATCAGTTTAGTCTTCCAGTGTCCACAGTCTACCTACACTGAGATGAGATGGAGGACATGCATGAAGGACTTGGTCCTGATGTCCTCCACGTCGCGCTTCTTCCCCATCCTCGTGAACGGCTGGCACGGCGGACTCATCAGCACCGCGTCAATGTTCCACGCTTCAAACTGAGCAACTGTCAGTTTCTGATGAAATAAAAGGTGTTTCATGAAGGTTAATGTGAGTGAGTGAAAGTTGCTGTATTTCTGATTAAATATAAGTGTTTCATGGTTGAATAAATGAAGAACAATGTGAGTGAATGTTGTTTTATGTCACAACCAGGATCAAGTCTGGACCAGAGAAACCAATGACAATCAGGCCCTGGGGACTCATGAGAACCTTATGTCACTGGTTCTCAGAGTTTGTAGCTAGTCCTGCTTGAACAAAACAATAACGCTTGCTATGGTTACATTTTCAGTCAGTTTTATTCAGTTCAAATTTGCAGAAATATTGTAGCATTAACAACAGGTTAAGAGTGAAAGAGTGAGTGAGTGAGTGAGTGAGTGAGTGAGTTTAATTCTAATGTCGCATGTGCATTATTTCAGCCATGTGGCGACAAGAACAAATTAATATATCTACATGCAGGGTATGATGTCAACCACACTGAGATTTGTCTCTATACAATCTGATGGACATTCTCCTTCTTGGGGTATTTGTCTAAATCAGGACTCTGTACTTCAAACTGGTTCCCATCACATGACGTAAGAGCGAAGTCGCTGTGGATTACATGGTCAGGCTCAGAGATCTGGCAGGCATGTCATTGTAAACTGTCGTCCTTGGATGTTGTCAGGAGATCAAACTTGATTATTTATTATTTATTTACCATGTTCACAGGCTACCGTGATATACCGTAGTTGGAATACTGCTGAGGCAGCACAAACATACAATATCTGAGATACTACCGTGATATACCGTAGTTGGAATACTGCTGAGGCAGCACAAACATACAATATCTGAGATACTACCGTGATATACCGTAGTTGGAATACTGCTGAGGCAGCACAAACATACAATATCTGAGATACTACCGTGATATACCGTAGTTGGAATACTGCTGAGGCAGCACAAACATACAATATCTGAGATACTACCGTGATATACCGTAGTTGGAATACTGCTGAGGCAGCACAAACATACAATATCTGAGATCATTCAAGATGCAGCCTGACTTTGTTGACTTTGTTGGATGGTAACTGAACTATCCTGACCCTCAGGCTCAACAATACATACGTCAATGCTGGACGGCAGAAGTTTGACATCAGGGAAGTTGTGTCTGTAGATCTGATTTGCTGTGGTGTTGATGTCGATGGCTGCAACAACTTCAAAGGACAGCCCACTTTCTGAAACACATGATGACGAGGAACAATTTTATATACATACAAGCAGGGAGCCCCTATATAATTATGTTCGCCACTATTTTCATTCACAGAGCAAGGACTCAGGATAAGGATCTACCTTTACCCTAACACAACTAACCCTGAGTATCGTTCGTGAATATGTATTATCTTTCAGAGGCCATATGTTTCTGGTATTATGTATACATACAGACCTCCAGATAACTTTTTGAGCAAATGAGGTTTTTTTACTCTTAGGTTTCTATTTTAATTGGGTTATTACATTTTCAATTGGTAACCCAATATTTTTTCACTCATCTATTCATCACTCTATTGGGGTTTTCACAAAATTAGTGAAAATTTTAAGATTTTAAAAATAAATAATGTTTTAGATTATATGGCTGTTCTTAATAAATACATGATATAGGTTTGACTCGGAAAGTAAATTAGCTCATAATTAAGTTTGGGAAATTCGCTCATTTCTACGTATGTTGAAAGAGCTTCATTGGGTATTTACGCACACTGTGTTTATACATTTGAGTTTTTCATTTAAAGCATGCGTTTCTGTACATGCAAGTTCATTTAAAGTAATTGGATTTTGAAGGGGGGGGGGGGGGGGGGGGGGAGTATATTTTACCCAAATACGCTGCTTGTCTGTAGCTCTGTACATAATACGTTAAACAGATTCTATAATCACACCGTAAGCAGTCCCTGTTTCTAATGTTGTTGTTTTATAAAACACGTATTCAAATTTACGTTTTTCCTCTTCCCTGTGTTTCGTATAGATCTAGGCCTGGATAAATACCTCAGGTTTATAGCTTTATTTGGAAAATGTTTCAAATTTATATTTGTACTCTGCTTGTTGCTTGTCATTAGAAGTTCAGACATGGTTTAGTCGCCTGTCTGAAACTAGTACAACCAGCTGTTGTCAAAGTTGACGATGTGTGTTGTCACGAAAACAGTTGATTTTTGGCTGTGTCGCGTTGTGATTGAAAAGAACAACATGGAAACAGGTGATACATATCATGTTACACAAACCTTGGTATTTCCATGGTAACTCAAATTACTACCAACCTTGGAGAGCCCAGTGCATGCCTCCAATGCCGCTGTACAGCTCCAACACACGGACCTTCACGGGGGCTGCCATCTTGGAAAGTGACGTCACGACCGAGACAAGTTGCACAGCTAGCGACGTGCCACTAGAAATCTACTCCAAAACTCTGAACTCCTATGGTTTTCTCTGATACAAATTCGACTTAAACCGCTAAATCTACTTTTGTATATAAAATCCAATAAAGCATACTTATATAATATATTGGCATCTTGCTGGTTACATGAATATGGGCAATGAATGGTCTAGATGACTAATTTGGTCAAACTACATTAATGTCAATTAGTTGATTATTTCTGTTAAACTTTGATCTTTCATTTTTTAATCACCCAAAAATGGTGAACCTCTCTTCATGGTCGTTTGTGGCCATGTTGCGAAAACGCACCCTGGACATATGCCACCCGTTTGTCCAATGACGTCATGTTATTCTACTGAGACGTATAGATGACGTGATTGAACAATTTCAAACTGTTATTACACCAGTGAAAATAACATTGTTATGCCACCCGATAACCCAACGAGGATATTTGCACAGTTTGTTAACGTGTGCCATGCAAAACTTGCCATTAGTTGTCATGAATGAAAACGTTCAAATTTATATTATTGGGTCACGAGATGAGGTAAACAGGTTTTTTGACACGAAAAGCAACATGTTCTCATTGTGTATTTTCTTACAGATCTCACCGGATTTTGGGTAGCAATGATATCAGTGAGGGTTCAGGTAGTACCGGCATAGACTTGCACAAGTCTCTAAAGCAATAACTATTAGTTTAAATCCTAATTTCTAGATTAGGTAAATAATAAGAACAAGTTGTCCCTGTACTGTCCACATATCTAGATTGTCATATTAGGAGGACAGAATTATTACACATCCATGGACTTATCTTTCAGTACAGCCTTTGAGCAAGTCTAGTTCCGGCATGAGTGAGTGAGTTGGGTTTAACGCCGCTTTTAACAGTATTCCAGTTATATCGCGGCGTGTCAGCGTGATGCAGGTCTCAGACGTTTACCACTTCGGTGAAACCCACGAGCACGGGTATGGTGCTGACAAACCTAGAAACATAATCGGGGCGAACCGGGATTCGAACCCACAATCATAGGTTTCTGGCGTGTCCAAGGGACGCAACTCTGCACAGCGAATCGCAGCGCCTTAGACGACTGGGCCACCCGTGCCCCCTGTTCCGGCATGAAGTGTTCCGTGTTGTCACACTCGGGTACCCGCCGTGATATTGCTGGAATATTGCTAAAAGCGGCGTAAAACCATACTCACTCACTCACTCACTCACTCACACTCGGGTAACTGACATCATTTCCTGCAGTGACGTATCAATTATCATGAAATAAATAAACTATTTTCCCGCTGACGTATGTGTACTGTGCATCATCACACGTGTTACTTTACACTCTCAAAGGAGAAGCGTTTGTATGAACAGACATACCGTGTTCGACGTAATAAGCGCCTAGGGCCCTCTCAAAATTAGAATTAGAGGTCTCTTATAGAATATAATTTTGGTGAGATTAAAAATGAGGTTGAAAGATTGTACATTTTGTGTTTTATGCTGACAGCCTGAAATGATCTAAAATAAGAATCTGTGCGTATGATACATGATAGATATATTTTCGAGAATTTAATTGCCCATAATTAAGGCTTCATATAACACACGAGTGCGTATTATACACGAATAAATAAGTCGGAAAGGGTGCTAACTGGGATTGTTCACTAGCCAATATATATTAGCAAATATCGCCTTTGGCGCTTATTAGAGCGGGGCGCTTATTACGTCGAATACGGTATGCAGCTTTCATTTCTCGCGCTGCCTGACACTAAGAATTCAACTGTGGAGATATGATGTAACAAAATGGAGCACCTGCTACATGACGCTAACGCCGATATTCTATCAGCTGTCGATGACCACGTGTCACTGGCTAAAGTACAATATAATCTCATATAATCTGTTTGTAGTTCCAGTTATACATAGAGCTTGTAATAACGTTATGATAAACTATTTCATACACGGATGTTGAGGGGGTCTCTTCCATCGCCAAATAACAAAATACACCCTCCTTTACCCAAGCAGCTTACCCGCGCTTCACTCTGCAGCTGGCTTCACCCTGCAACTGGCTTCACCCTGCAACTGGCTTCACCCTGCAGCTGGCTTCACTCTGCAGCTGGCTTCACAACCTCAAGTAGTTTATAGTTTATAATCCCTAAATAACCTGTTCTAGAAAATGTTTTCACTTAAACCATCAGGGGTTGATATCACCAGTACTTCATCTATTTTCCAACTATAAAATTCCACTTTATAGCCGGTTGATTAACTGTTGACATCACAGCTGTCTTATCTATTAATAATCGTCATTAGGTTGGCGACGTGATCGACAAATACTCCATCATCGTCCGCATTATTGCCACACGGGACCACAGCGAGGGTAACCGGTCCTTAATTCATTTATTCAGTTTTGCTAACTTTTGACACGATCAATAACTAATTAACGTTATCTCTTGCATAAAAGGGGACATAATTGCGTCATGGTCGCCATGGATCCGTTGGCTGAACAACAACAAAATCGTTATTTATGGGTTTTTTTATAGTTCTGGAAAACGGCTTTAGTCAAGTTAAGGTGGTTGGAAACTTGTATGTACAGCGCTGGGCTAAACGCGCACAGTGGCATTACCTATTATTGACCGGGTAGGAATTGATGGTTAATTCAAATTTGATTCTCAGACCATTTGGAGCAGACCACCCATGTTTTGACGTTAGCCTTTCAGGTTTGACATGCAGGTGTAAGAGTAGAGACGACAAATCTGTGTCATTCGTAAACTCACCAATTATAGCGTCAGTGGGTTACACCGCTTTTAACAGTATTCCAGTTATATCACGGCGTGTCAGATTGATGTGGGAGGAAAGTCCGAAGTGATGCAGGTCTTGGACGTTCACCACATTGGGGAAAACCTCAAGCGCGAATATGGTGCTGACAAACCTAGAAACATACCCAAGGCGAATCTTGGATCCGTGACGCGGCTAAGGGAGGCAACTCTGCAAGTAAACAACGCCACCTTCGACCACTAGGTCAGCGTGTCGCCTTTAACAGGAAGCGGGGTGGTATTAGTCCGGGAGATGACGTGATGGGTGGCACGACACATGGCGGTGTAGAAACCCTTACATCATAAATTCTCCACGAAGACGTGTTTGCCAAGTGTGTACACATTCCCTGTCGGAGTCCTGTGTATGACAGCGGCCTTGGACAGAGTACAGTGGTGGATATTATGAGCAACATCCCGCATCGTCACCGAGTCTGAGACCCCATTAATGTTGTCATGTTGTACGGCAAGCGTCTAGGTTGCAAGGGCCCAATCTCTATGGGGAGAAATTTACTGTGAAATTACATGTTTGTTTGTTTGTTTGTTGTTTAACGCCTCAGGAAGCAATATTCCAGCTATTATCGAGTCTGGACCAGACATTCCATCGCCCTAGGCAACTGGGATACGATGACATGCATCAATCAAGTCAGCGAGCCTGACCACCCGATCCGGTTAGTCATCTCTTACGACAAGCATAGTCGCCTTTTTACGGCAAGCAGGGTTTGCTGAAGACTCGGATTTTCACGGGTGGTAAAATTGCATGTACAGGGCTGGCCACTCCACACACTGGGACATCACGTATTGTCATCAGAATTCTCCAGTAAGACGCTTTCAGCAAGATTTTACATACCGCCGACAGTCGGGGGTAGGACAGTCTGACATGGGGGAATGTGGATGAGACTCTTCCTACCCACGAGAGGGGCGGTCGGGTAGCCTAGTGGTTAAAGCGTTCGCTCGTCACGCCGAAGACCCGGGTTCGATTCCCGACATGGGTACCATGTGTGAAGCCCATTTCTGGTGTCCCCCGCCGTGATATTGCTGGAATATTGCTAAAAGCGGCGTCAAACCATACTCACTCACTCCTACCCATGAGTCGTGGTAGTTGTAACGTTATTTTTTTAATATTAGAAGCACGGTGTCATTTTTGTCACTGACTTCCATGTGCAGAAAGGCGATGTACGATGATTATAAGGGCGCATCAAATGAATAAAAAAACAGTTGATTTCATCACATTGTAGTTGATGAACCAGACATTGTTAAAAAACAAAGAGTTAATTCATTCTAAAACAAAAAGTTTTACTTCTTAACGCCAGACAGGACACATGGATGTAACACTTTCAGGCGGGGACTCTGGATCCGCCTGAGTATAATCCTAGTATCTTCCCAAGTATGCAACAAAGTGATGGAAGGACCAGTGTTTCACCACAGAAGACAAGTATGTTCATGGAAACTACAAAACGGGATCTGATGAACATGGATTGAAATATCAACGGTCATGAACAGGTTGCGTCCCGGGGAAGGACTGATGTGACAGTTGGGACTCCAGTGATGCAGATCAGCTGGCAGACATGACGTGGACCAATCACTAGACGAGGGCGTGAGATCATCAGCAACATGTCGGGGTGAGTTCCACAACCTAAACTGAAGTAGCCTAACTGCGAGTTCATTTTCATGGTATTCCGTGCATGTGTTGACACATCGGCCTGTAGAAGGATAGCCACTTTAACTACCCAACCTTGTGGGTGCTTTTCTGCGACCTGTATGTTGGTTGGTTGGTTGTTTTACGCCGCACTCAGCAATATTCCAGCTATATGACGGCGATCTGTAAACAATCGGGTCTGGACCAGACAATCCAGTGATTAATATCATGAGCATCGATCCACGCAATTGGGATCGATGACATTCTTCAACCAAGTCAGCGAGCCTGACCACCCAATTCCGTTAATCGCCTCTGACGTCAAGCATAGTCGCCTTTTACGGCAAACATGGGTTGCTGAAGACCTATTCTACCCCGGATCTTCACGGGTGGCGAGCTGTATGTACATCTAGGGGGTCTCTATAGAGAAATCCAAGTTTGATGACATAATGTTCATGCGTCTTTACTGCTATTAAGTTTGAATGAAAGTTGTACCAATTTGAAAGTCTTTCTTTGGAAAGATTGTAACTGAAATGCCTAAGCGTACTTTCCCAGAAAATCAAAATGGCAAATCAATGACATGTCTGGCATGTCAAGTCGGGCTATTGAACACTG